TGCCATTATCCAAGCCCGACGCCGTGGGATGGAGCCGGAACCGGATCGTCTAATATTTGTGCGTGACATTAAACACGACCTAAACCATAGTCACCACCCCTCCTTGATCAAATTACATTTTTTGGCATTTTACGGCAATTAAACTGGAATTCCGCCCGCCGTGCCTGTATTTTCGCCTTCCATGGCCCAAGTTCGACGCCGTAGGACGGAGCCGAAACCGGATCGCCTAATATTTGTCCGGGCAATCAAATAAGACCTATGGAACCATAGTTAGCGCCCCGCCATTACCAAATTACATTTTTTGGCATTTTACGGATTAAACCGGAATTCCGCTAATCGCACCTGTATTTTCGCCGACCATGGCCCAAGGCCGACACTGTGGGACGGACCCAGAACCGGATCGCCTAATATTTTTTCGGGCCAACAAATACGACCTAAGGTACAATAGTCACCACCCCGCCATGACCAAATTATATTTTTTTGCATTTTACGCCAATTAAACTGGTATTCCGCCAATCGTGCTTGTATTTTCACCTGCCATGGCCCAAGACCGACGCCGTGGGACGAAGCCAGAACCGGATCGCCTAAAATTTGTCCGGGTCATCAAATACAACCCGAGGAACCATAGTCACTGCCCCTCCATGACCAAATTACATTTTTTAGCATTTTACGGCAACTAATTTGCAACTCCGCCCGTCGTGCCTGTATTTTCGCCTGCGATGGCCGAAGCCCGACGCCGTGGGACTGAGCCCGAACCGGATCGCCTAATATTTGTCCGTGACATCAAATACGACATACGGAACCATACTCACCGCCCCGCCATGACCAAATTACATTTTTTGGCATTTTACGGTAACTAAATTGGAACTTCGCCCGTCGTGCCTGTATTTTTTCTTGCCATGGCCGAAGCCCGACGCCGTGGGACAGTGCCCGAACCGGATCGCCTAGTGTTTGTCCGTGACATCAAATACGACCTATGGAACCATAGTCGCCATCCCCCCATGACCAAATTACATTTTTTTGCATTTTACGGCAATTAAACTGGTATTCCGCCAGTCGTGCCTGTATTTTCACCTCCCATGGCCCAAGCCCGATGCCATAGGACTGAGCCGGAACGGGATCGCCTAATATTTGTCCGGTACATCAAATACGACCTAAGGAACCATAGTCACTGCCCCGCCATAACCAAATTACATTTTTTGGCATATTGCAATCGGGCGGAATTCCAGTTTAATTGCCGTAAAACACCAAAAAATATAATTTGGTCATGGCGGGGCGGTGATTATGGTTCCCCGGTCGTATTTGATGTCCCGAACGAATATTAGGCGATCCGGGTCCGGGTCCGTCCCACGGCGGTAGGCGTGGGCTATAGCACACGAAAATATTGGAATCGGGCTACGCCTTCCGCTGTGGGCTCGGGCGCCCGGACCCAGATCGCTTAATTTTCCGGAACATCAAATACGATCTAAGGAACCACTGTCACCGCCCCGCCATGACCAAATTACATATTTTGGCATTTTACGACCATAAAACTGGCGACCTAAGGAACCATAGTCACCGCCCCGCCATGACCAAATTATATTTTTTGGTGTTTTACGGTAATTAAACTGGAATTCCGCCCGATTGCAATATTTTAGTGTGCTATAGAATATTTTCGATTGCAATTAAACTGGAATTCCGCCATGATACAAATAACATTTTTTTTTTCCCGGCTCCTGGTACTCTAAGAAGATTGAAGGTATAAAATTTTGGTGATGTGTCAGCGAATTGACACTGTTCAGAAGAGATAAAGGTGTGCCCTAATTTTGGCAAACTGTAGGATCATTTAGCACAAATGCATATTTCACCTTCTTTCTGTAATTGCTCTGGTTTCCTTTTCCAATTGAACTTAAGACATGCATTCATAGCAGTCTAAATCCGAGAACTAAGACCCTGCTAATATCATACCAGCTGGCTGTTATGCTTCGCATCTGTTTGCACTTACTTACTGTTGGTGGCCCTGTTAATTGGTTACCTTACTTTTGGAATGTAGGACAAAAGTTTGAGAGAGCTTGCCGCAGATGCCCTTTCTTATCTTACTAAGTATGATCCTGGATATTTTGCTAGTACCATTCTGGGGAAGTTATTGCCTTGCACATTGTCTTCTGATTTGTGCATTCGTCACGGTGCAACTTTAGCTGTTGGGGAAGTTATATTGGCTCTACATGAGTGTGACTATGTTCTTTCCCGGGGTTGGTGTCTCCCTTTCAGATTCACGTTTTTAGTTGATTAGATCAAAGTTCAAGCTGGTTGGCGCTGGTTTAAAGTTTAGAGGTCTTCAATGCATTTTGTGCTTTACATTGTTCTTAATAAATATTAGCTTTTCCGAGTCTCATTTGATGAGTTAAATAGTTCTGCAATATGCTGGAGAAACAAGATCTCTTAAACCATAATTGGAAAACTAGAACAATACTGCAGTAAAAATCAACTTAAGTATAAACATATGAGACTATAATGACAACTTTTACTCAATTTGTGCATGTAGATACCACATATTTTTGGTGTTATATGTTCATACTTGTATTGAACATGATTTTTCTCACTACTAAAAAAACATTAATTAGTGACTGAAATTTCTGACTGAAAACAAAGTAGTCGCTAATGGGACTACTTTTGTGACTATTGTAGTCGGAAACAGATCTGAATTTTTATTACCTTTTCTAAAAAAGAAATTAGACTATTATTCTGACGAAAGCAGTGTGAAAATAGCGGGCCAATTTTCCGCCTTCACTTTTGCGACCGATTCGGTCAGAGAATAAAAAGTCAAAAATATCAATTGGCCAAAAAAGCTACTGCGTCGGTCGCTAAGCTAAAATTAAAATGGTAAAAGAATATGTAAGCGGGTTTGCGACCACGGTAGTCACAAATCTAAATTTAATATTTCAGGCCAAAACCCTATTTCCCCAATTTGTGCGCGCCCTATTTCCCCAATTTCCCTCCTCTCTCTCTTTCGATATATTCAATTCCATCTCAGCGGCTGACAGAGGCAAACGGGCGGACGAGGCAAAGGTGGACAGAGGCAAACCTAGAAAAAGCAATGCTTCCACCATACCTGTGCTTGAAATTCGTTTCAACCGAGCAAAAGAGTATAGCAGGTGCCTTCTAATCTTCATATGTGCTGCAATCTCCATCATGTTTGTGTTCTTTGGTCTAATTAAAATATGTCCGTAGGAACTAATAACCAAGAATCCATATGTGAGTGTGTTAATTCATGTTTGCCTGTAGCTCTTTTGTGATTTCCTGGAGAACTAGCAGCTCTCATGTTTAGGACTAAGGGATCGCATTAATATATGCAATACCAACTGATCTATAAGGCTATAGGAATCGGTTAATGAATTATTCCTAAGGGGCTTTAAGCAATATTTTTGTGTCTCTCGATCTTTATTCTTTGCACATGTTTGGACATATCACATAGATATCATGTCATTAGGTATATTTTCTAAGTTAAATGAAAGACAATATTTGAATCATTGAAATTTCAATTCTTAAACCTTAAGGTTGTTTGTTCTTATGTGTTTAAGATTACCCTGCCCGAACCAATGCGCCTGTTTCGTCACTTAGACACCATGTTTAGGAGTAAATAGCCTAATTTACTATCTGTCCAATTGAAGAATTATGTCTGAGTAATATTTTGTTTGCTTTGTTGGTTATAACGTTGTTGTTAGGATATGCTTAAACACCTAGATTCCATTTTATTAGGATGTTAATCATTTAGATATCATGTCTTTAGGACCTACGCCATTCATTCATGCTTTTATTACAAATCTGAAGTTTATAGTGTTTTTTTTAACCTTGACTTGGTTTGGCTTGGACATATCCACCTATAGATCATGTTGGTTAGAAGATAATGCTTTAACTAATGACAACAAATTTTGTGTCCATGGAAATAGTATAAGTTGTATATTTTTACGTGTTTGTTGCCTGTGTTTGATTGCAGGGGCTTAGCCTTGATAGTTTTGGCTAAAGTTTAGTTCTTCAGACCAAGTTTAGTTTATTTTAGTCTTACTTTGTAGTTCTTTGGTCTGTAATAATGTATGGACACCCTGTAGTAGTGAAGAGGGGTTATGTGCTGATTGCTATTTGTGTGGTTCATTACTTGTCTTCATATTTTGGCATGCTTAAATAATTTATCTTTTTCTTTTAAAATCGTTAGATGCATGTCTATAGGGATTACCTAATGGACAAAAAGATTTCCTATGTGTTAACTATAACTAAACTTGGTCCGAAGAAGTTTTGGTTTTGCGGCTCTTTCGAGTATCTTCAAACATTTTGCCCCTTCTACACTTTCCCTCCACAACTCTATAGCGTCTAGCTTGACAACTCAAGAATATAGGCCTTATTAGTAGAGACAACAGATGTTCATAGACAAATCCTTATTGAAACAGCATTGCGTGAAAATTGAAGTTGTATTGGAAAATACATCAAATCCAAGAGATAGGCATGCTGTAACAGAAAGGTACTCCATCCTAGAATGTCAGTTTCTTAATATTTATGAAGGAAAAAGAGTGACAAGGAAAACTCTGACATAATACTCACGAGCTTGATTATTGTTACAGAAAATTATTAAGCTCTATAAAGATATTTCTCCATCATAATGTGGAAAATTGGCAAGTACGTGAAGTATCCTTTTATTGTTTTGATAATTATGGTATTTGAGTCAGCTTACGCACATCTCAATTTTTCTCCACATATATATATATATATATATATATATATATATATATATATATATATCTTAAGTCATGATCTATGTCTCCACAAACAATTTTTGATAATTCATTTGCATAGGGCACACACTGTTGATATATAACACATAATGGCTGTTGAAGTCTTGAATATTATAGGATGGCCACAAAATATATTTATGTTGTTGAAAGAGCCAATTTTTTTATAAGTAAATTGTTTGGCATCATATTAAGTAATATATATTGTTTTTAAATATCTTGGATTTATTTGTGTAGATGGAGCTTGCATATTGTAGATGGATGTATAATCGGACTTATCCTAATCATAGTGGATTGAGGGAGGAATTTATAGAAGGGGTTGCTGAATTTGTGGCTAAAGCGAAAACACTTCATGAATTTCTTAGTGAAGGGATGATTAGGTGCCCTTGTGTCAAATACAAGGGTGCAAAGTTATTACAGCCAGATATTGTTAAAGTTCATCTTTATAAAAAAAGATTTATGGAAAATTATTACGTGTGGACTATTCATGGAGAGGATGTTGCTAGTGTTGATAACGTCGATTTTCAAAATTTTTTTGGTAGTGAGGGTAGCCCATTAGCAGAGAATAATACTGAAAATTCTCGATTCAGTGAAATGGTTAGGGATGCTTTTGTGATGCACCCAGAGGCTCAGTCTGAACCAAATGAGGATGCTAAGCGCTTCTATGAACAATTACAGGAAGCAAGTCGTCCATTGTATGAAGGCTCAATGCATTCTAAGTTGTCTGTCGCAGTTAGATTATTAAGTATTAAATCGGATTCAAGTATTTCTCAAGCGGGCATGGACTCTATCATTGGCCTTATGAATGAACATAATCCGAATAAAATTGACCCACCCAAAGATTTCTACACAGCAAAGAAATTGGTTTCTAAGTTAGGACTTTCATCAGAAAGGATTGACTGTTGTGAGAAAGGTTGCATGTTATTCTATAAGGATGATGCAGCCTTAGAAAATTGCAAATTTTGTGACCAACCTCGTTACAAAAAAGTCATAAATTCAAAAAGCAAGAAGGTTCCAGTTAAGGCGATGCATTACTTACCCCTTATACCTAGGTTAAAGAGGTTATATGCATCAATGGGCTCTGCTCCTCATATGAAATGGCACTATGAAAATAGAAGGCCACCTGGTATTCTGTGTCATCCGTCAGATGGAGAAGCATGGAAGCATTTTGATAGGGTGTTTCCGGATTTTGCTAGTGAACCAAGAAATATTAGGTTGGGTTTATGTGCAGACGGATTCACTCCCTTTTCCGTCTCTGCTGCACCATATTCATGTTGGCCAGTGTTTGTTACGCCGTATAATCTTTCTCCTGAGCTGTGTATGACAAGTCCATATTTGTTCCTAGCTTGCATTGTTCCAGGTCCGCGCAATCCAAAAATTTTGATTGATGTATACATGCAACCTTTAATTGACGAGTTAAAGTTATTGTGGCATGAAGGTGTGGAAACATATGATATATCAACTAAACAAAACTTCAGATTGCGGCTTTGATGTGGACTATAAATAATTTTCCTGCTTATAGAATGTTGTCCGGGTGGTCGACTGCAGGGAAGTTAGCTTGCCCAACTTGTATGGAAGACACAAAAGCATTCACGTTGAAACATGGAGGAAAGAATACATGGTTTGACTGCCACCGTCGATTCTTGCCTATAGATCACGAGTTTAGGAGAAATACTAGTGCATTTATGAAGAACCAAACTGATTTTGAGGAGCCACCGTCACCATTGTCGCCAGAAGAAATTTGGAACAAAGTTAGGTTTCTACCAAAGGTAACAAAGTCTCCAATATCTAATAAGATGCCTGGTTATGGTGTTACGCACAATTGGACTAAACAGAGCATATTTTTGGAGTTACCTTATTGGAAGCATAATCTTCTTCAGCATAATTTGGATGTCATGCATATCGAGAAAAACTTTTTTGACAACTTGTTTAATACAATAATGGATGTCAATAGCACAAAAGATAACTTGAAGGCTAGGATGGACTTAAAGGAATATTGTAGGCGAAGTGAGTTATACCTGACATACTTGAACAACAAGATTCAGAAGCCTAAGGCCAGTTACACATTCACTTTGGATGAGAGAAGAGAGATTTGTGATTGGGTTAAGAATTTAAGGATGCCTGATGAATATGCATCAAACTTATCCAAGTGTGTTGACATGAAAGAAGGGAAGTTGACGTCTATAAAGAGCCATGATTGTCACATTTTCCTCGAATCTTTGATGCCTATTGCATTCAAAGCCTTGCCTGATAGAATATGGAAACCCATTACTGAGATAAGTTTATTTTTCAAGGAGTTGTGTTCTAGCACATTAAAGGTGGGGAACTTAGCTTACATGGAGAACATTTGCTTAACTTTAAACAAGCTGGCGAAAATTTTTCCTCTTGGGTTTTTTGATGTAATGGAACATCTTCCAATTCATCTTGCACAAGAGGCACGATTGGAGGGCCTGTGCAATGTAGATAGATGTATCCTTAAGAGAGGTAATGAATTTAAATTATTTTTCCTTAACTTGTTTTAATTAAGCATTATTTCATCTAAACATTGTGCTATATAGGACTATTGGAAAATGTAAGCGGATCGTAAAAAATCGATCCAGGATTGAGGGATTGATATGCGAGGCACATATGGCTAAAGAAACTTCTTTTTTCTGTTCATATTATTTTGAATATGCTGTGCCATGTTTGAGAAATAGGCCAAATCGGCATGATGATGGAGGTGTTAATGATCCTTTGGCACCACCATTTTCCATATTCAATCATCCAGGTAGAGGTCCGAAAACTAGTAAAAAGCGAAATTTGACTGAGATGGAGAAAAAATCAGTTTGGAGATCTTGGATAGTTACTACCTTAGGCTTTCGGGAAGGGAATCTTGTCACGACCCCAGTTCACCCTCCATGAACATGTCGTGAGGGCACCTAGTTTCTACAATTAGGTAAGCCTAACAATGCCGAAATTCAATATAACTCGCGAAAATAATTAATCAAAACTGAACAGATGTAAAATAATAGTTGTATGTAAGGCCGCTCGGCCTATACAACTCAAAGAAATGCGGAAGTCTACAACTCAATCCCAAAACCCAGAAACTCACGGGAAACACAGGCTAATAGAAAGGAAATACACTACTCTAACTCCAGAATGTCTACACAACCGAAAGAAAGGAAGGTCATATACTAAAGCTGGAATAAGATAGAGACTTCTGGTCTGCGGACGTGGCAGATATACCTCAAAGTCTCTGCTAGATCTCTTCTCCGCGAGGATAGTACGTCTGGGTGGAGGTACCTGGAGCTGCACATGAAAAACATACGCTTAAGGGGCATGAGTACACCACAGCGGTACTCAGTAAGTGCCAAGCCTAACCTCGGTTGGGTAGTGACGAGGAAGGTCAGGGCCCTACTGAGATAAAATAAAATAATAAGGTTTACAACAGTATGAAATAAACAGAAATAATGAGATACAGCTATTGAGTTAATCGGATTACACAAAACAACAATGTATACGCAGAAAATAAGATAACACAGAGTAAACAGCTCAATACCAACACCAATAATGAGGATCTCCCAGGATACCGTCCCGTAGTCCACCGTATGAATATATCTGAAGGATCTCCCGGGATACCGTCCCGTAGTCCATTTTATCAATCTGTCCAAGGAGCTCCCGGGATATCGTCCCGTAGTCCATCGTATGAATATATCTGAAGGATCTCCCGGGTACCGTCCCGTAGTCCAACTATCAATATGCTGGGGGATCTCCCGGGAATCTAACCCGTAGTCCCAAAGTAAATGTGCAGGGGGATCTCCCGGGAATCTAACCCGTAGTCCCAAAGTAAATGTGCAGGGGGATCTCCCGGGAATCTAACCCGTAGTCCCAAAGTAAATGTGCAGGGGGATCTCCCGGGAATCTAACCTATAGTCCCAAAGTTAACAAACAAAGGGGGATCTCCCGGGAATCTAACCCGTAGTCCCAAAGTAAATGTGCAGGGGGATCTCCCGGGAATCTAACCGGTAGTCCCAAAGTAAACAAACAAAGGGGGAGCTACCGGAATCCCGCATCCGTAGCCCCAATGTAAATGAGCAACCAAAATCAGAGAATATTCAGAAATTGAAGTACAACAATACAATGCAACATATAATTCTGGCCTAACATGCTCCACGTAATTATAATTAAGGCAAATTAAGCAAATAGGCAATTTGGTTCAACTAAACATGCTTTTCTATACTAGCACAGGCTATAATAGCAAGTAGAATAAAGCAATTACAAAAGAAACTCAGTTCAAGTATTTTAAGTAAAAATTTGGGTTTTCAACAATTAGCTCAAGTACGCGCTCGTCACCTCATGTACAAGGCATCAATTACCAAATATCACATCCTAAGGGACAAAGTCCCCCACACAAGGTTAGACAAGCCACTTACCTCGAACAAGTGCAAGTCAACCTGAAACCACGCTCTTGCCACGAGTATCTGACTCCAAATGGCTCAAATCTATTCAATTAAATTGCATATTGTAAATAATAATTCAAGTAATTGATTCTACAATTAAATTCTAAGCTAATACGCAAAATTGTATAAAATGACCAAAATGCCCCTCGGGCCCACATCTCGAAATCGGATAAATTTTACATTTTCAGAACCCTCGTACTCTCACGAGTCTACCCGTATAAAAATCTCTCAAATCGGATGTCAAATACCCACTCAAAACTCAACAATTTAGTCTAAGGATTTTGACCCATTTTTCATTCAAAAATCCGAAAATACGAAGGAAATCATGATTAGATTAGTAGGTATTAAGCATAAGAGAGTAGAGAATCGTTACCCAATCGTTGCTCGCGAAAACCCCTCGAAATGTCTCCCAAAACCGACCTCTAGAAGTCAAAAATGGAAAATGGGAACGAAGTCCCATTTTCAGAACTTAAGTTCTCTGCCCAGGCCCTTTTTTTTTCGCTTCTGCGGAAAATTTTCCGCTTCCGCTGATATTTTCCGCTTCTGCGGTACCGCTTCCGCGGATAAATTTCTGCTTTTGCTGTCCCGCTTTTGCGGCCATTTTCCGCTTCTGCGGTTATGACAGCAACCAGCACTTTCTCGACACGGAAATGAGCATAACTCCCTCATACGATGTCCAAATTCGACGATTCTTTTTGCTATGGTTCAGAAATTACGATACAGATCTAATGGTTCAGTAAAAACTTAATTTGGAGCTCATTTACTTAATATGGTGCCCCTTTAGGTCCAAAGATACGGCGTTGAAACATCAAATAAGAGTGCAATACAACCCGAAACACACCCGAGCGCAATACATCGAATGATGTTACACCCCGTGTTTTCGTTTGTAAGAGTACATCATAAATCAATTAATGTGAGCTCCGAAAGGGAATCATCTTTTAAAAGTTTACAAAGTTAGTTCATCATGTTAATGTGGAGGTTATAAATATTTAAGATCATTAGTACCAAGTAGCAAGAGGGCTTGAAGGCTTAGAAGCTAAACGAATTGAAGAAAAAAAGTTTCGTCGAAAGTCGACAAGTTGGAATATTTTACCATGTACTTTTGGGGTGATACTAGGGTTATTAACATTATAAGGAGATTATATTATGAGTTATTTTAGTCGTACGATAGTTGGTATTATGTTTTGAAGTCAAGCGAGTTGTGGAACAAAAGTTGGAAAAAGGTCATCACAAGTTCCATTCATAAATGTGCTGAAAATTAGGTCAAATGTAACTGAGTTTTTCTCCCAATATGCATGGAATTAGGGGATGATCTACCTATCAAATTAAAGATCTATGAGTCTAGTTTCCAACGCATTAAACCGTTCATCAATACGACATCGGAGTAGAGAGATATAGGCATTTTTGCGAGACCGCACAAGCTGCTAGGTGACAAGTAGGTGTGTCACCTACTTGGTTAAATGATAGCCCAAAAATAGGAAATTTCGGGTCGGCCAAAGAGCCCATTTAAAGGGTTATCTCCTGCAATATAACCCTCATTATATATCACAAATAACCAGACCTAAACCCCTGCAAACTTCCTCCCAAAAATTATCCACAAACCCTAATCTATTTTCCCTCTCTTTCAAGTTTTAATTGGGGGTAAAACCTAGAGTTGAAGAACCAAGGGAAGGGCTGAGTTATCCAACAAGTAAGGTGAGTTTACTGCTCTTTTTCATACATTTATTCTTCTGTGAATTCATGGTAATTCGTTCTATACATGTAAGAACTCACGGGACGGTGATTGGAAGCCGTGAGTTCGAGTTATTCACTTGTAGCGGACTGTTTTGTCTTGCTGTTGGGCTGCGTGTTTTACTCCTGTTTTGTGGAGTTTTGGAGGAGGAAGGATGTGGAGAAACACCATATAGATGTAGGGTTGTGGGCTGGTAGTTCTTCGTAACATTTTCGGGTCGTTTGACACGACTACGGTGGCCGTCGTATGTATGAAGTGATTAGGTTGTGCGTGGACTATTTTGGGAGGCTCAATATGATTATTATTGATGTTGTTTTGGCTGTTTGGTGATTTTTTGGAATTGTGTGAAGTCATATATATAGGGGAGGTGCTGTCCGTTTCATCGTAAAATAGGTTGTGGTCGATACATAATAGTTATGACGCTTGAATAATAACTACAGTATCGTTTCTCTTATTGTAGACTAAGGAGTCGTGAAAATTGCATAGCTTGAGATTGGGGCAGTATATACAAGTTATGTTAAGGCTCTTACTTCTTTCTTTTGGCATGATCTAAAGTGACATGAACATAAATGGTATGCTAATTCATAACGGATCTACTCCTAGAAACTAAGGTTGTCCATGTTGTTCTTTCCTTATAAAGTTATTCTAAACAAGTGGTATGATCCTTAAATCCTACTAAGGTTCATATTGATGGTAGGGATGTCCATAATGTTCTTAAGTCACTCCAAAAGGTTTAGAACTTGGTTCCATGAGTCGAGCATACATTATATATATGTATCTATTTTACTCTACCGAGCCGCGCTATAGTCGGCCGGGTATGGCACCTATTGTGCAACCACTGATCAGTTGGGTTTACCGAGCTCCACGTGGCCAGGTACGTTTTTACCGAGTCCTCTTTGAGGCCGGGTATGATATGATGATGATGATGCCCACAGAGGCGTATGTTTTTAAAAGTTTATGTATCTATATGTATTATGCATTTCATGTCAGTAGTCCCAGAGGCACTCAGATGTTACAGGTTGTATCTCCTCTATCACTCTTTACATTACTATTCTTGTTTATGCTTTCCTGCCTTACATACTCGGTACTTTATTCGTACTGACGTCCCTTTTGCCTGGGGACGCTGCGTTTCATGCCCGCAGGTCCCGATAGATAGGTTGACATTCCTCCTAGTAGGCTATCAGCTCAGCGAAGGTATTGGTGTACTCCACTTGCTCCGGAGTTGCCTATTTGGTCAGTATGCTTTGGATATGTATTGATTGGTATAGCGGGGCCCTGTCCCGACCTTTATGATTTTATGTACTCTTAGAGGCTTGTAGACAGTTGTCAGGTGTATGGATACTTGTATGGCCTTGTCGGCCTATGCTTTGAGTTTACAAATGGTCATGTCGGCCTTATAGGCCCATATGTCATATGTATAAGTTTGTATATCATGTTGGGTCATCATATGTTGAGTGTTCCCTTATGTTTTATTCTTGTTATCTCATGAAGGGTTTTCTAGCTCATTTACCCATGATAGTATAATAAGAAAGATATGTTACGTTGGTACTCGGTTGAGTAAGGCACCGGGTGCCCGTCGCGGCCCTTCGGTTTGGGTCGTGACAAACTTGGTATCACATTAATTGACTTATGATGTATTCTTACGTACGAAAACACGGGGTGTAACATCATTCCCCCCTTTTGGAACATTCGTCCTCGAATGTTGATTAATGCGCTTATCAGTCTCATAA